CTGCCACAAAGGCACCTAGGATGCTGGAGGACAGTGACCTAACATAAACTGATAGGGGATCTGGTACAGAAGTTCGATAGACCGGTCTAACCTAAGTCAATTAAGTCTGATGCCTCATCAATCCAGGTTTATCTTGGACTGGATTCCACCATTTTTATACCAGTCTGTTTCCCAAACTTCTGTTCTGTTATGGGTGTCGTCTGGTTTTCAGTCACTTATGCTGGTTTATGTGTAATGGCTGTACCTGGCCCTAATGACACTTCTTCTGTCCTACTGTGAGTTTAAGAACATCAGCACTTCTCATAGTGTTTCATTTTCACCATTTTTAATTGGGGCTAATGAAACCCAGACCATGTAGATGCCATGAGGCTTGATCTTATAAAGCACATTGACAGAAGATGTTGCAAAGGATTTCCATCCCAGCCTCACCCATGGCTCTTACCAGTTTTTTTTCTTTGTCATTGTCTTCTTACCTGTCTATCACTCCAGTTGCTAAGCTCTGCCTATGTGATCTGGACCAGGTGGATCTGTGATCTGGACCAGCCGGCTCTGCCCATGTGATCTGGACCAGGTGAGAGGGGGGGTGGCTCTACCTCTCTTCATTATTTTAAGCACTGACCTCATGGCAGAGGGGCAGGGACTAGAGCTGTCACTCTCTGAGTTGGCCAGTGATGCTTTTTAAATTGGTTGGTGAGCCTTAAACAACACCTGCCCTGATTGGACCTGGAAGGTGTGGTCAGAAAAGTTTATTTAAGAGCTCCCTTCTTCCTGGAGGGGGGAGAGCCACTTTTTCGGGGGGGAATGACATGTGAGTAACTGACCAGGCAGAGAGATGGGGATCTCTCTGGAAACTCACTGACACACCATGAACTTCCTGCCTGCAGAGGAAAGCTCAACCAGCCTCTGGATCGTACTTGTGAAGCACTTACCTGAAACCTACCTCGATATATAGCTTACTGTGATATAGATGCGTGCTTAATGGCTACTTAGCCACCCTGCTTGCTCTAAGGTTATTCTTTGATTCTTCTTTAACCTGTACCATTCCCCAAGCCTTCCCTCTTTAACCAATAAAGTTCTTCACTATACATAGCGTGGTGGACTGGCTGGGAGAGGGACTGGGCTATGTCTTGGTGCCCCCTTGTTCTAACTGACTAAGGGAAGCTACTTTTTGTGTTTCAGGCTAAAGGAAGCACCCCAATTTTTCACAGTGGGTTAAGTACCCTCAAGGTCTACAAGGCCTGTGTACCTCAGGGGGCACAGGGCCAAAGACAGACTAGATCCCCGGGTGGTGGCAGCAGTACCCCCAGGCTGGTGGGTGTGCTCTGGGAAGGGGGTTGGCCAGATGTGAGGCACACCTGGGGAGGCACTTGGAGCTTGGTAGGTGGTCAGGCGCAGTGAGGTGGATGGCTTAGCACAGGAGCCCCCCCTACTGGCCTGCCACAGATGTTACTGAAGTATTATCATAGTATATTGTTTTATTATAGTTGTCTCAAAGTCTAAACAACAATAATTAATTAAGCTTTATGAAACCACCATCAGGTTGTCATCATAATCCTTGTTCAGCTAGGATGACAAATGTATAGCAATCCAAATTACATATTGATGAGATTTAGGTTCACTAAAGTGCCTACATGAATTTAAAAAACATGACTCATGCACCTATCTCACTTTTGAAAACTTTACCTTACGTGACTTGTATAAGGTCACACAGAACTGTCTGAAGCAAAACTGCCCAAACCAAGGGAGATGTGCCTTTCAATCACATGTTCTCACAATCACTGCTTTTCAGATAAATAACCACAATAGAGAAAAACTATTGGAGTTTGGAAATAAATTGTTGTCTAGATTATCTAGCCAATCCAATTGGAGGCAGCAAAATCTACTGTATTTTTATGGAGTGATGTGTATAAAGTCATGAGGGAATCCACAATGCCAAAAAACCTATGAGAAGCCAGAAGAAGTATTCTTCTCTTTCAGCCTTTAAGAAATTAATGGAAGCAAGGTCTACTAATAAAGAGTGTCCTTGTATGTCTAAATCAGGTATAGGCTGCTCACTAATTTAGGCACAAATTGAATTTTAGAGGTTTATATAATAGGGACAGCAATAAATTGAAAAAAAATGATAGCAAGTGTCTCAATGACAAAGAGTCTCGCATGCAGAAGGATGAGTAATAAAACCAGATGGGAAGTTGAATATTACATAAATTTAACAACTGCTTCAGTTTTCCATTTTATATACCAATAGAAAGGTGAGACATGATCACAGCTGCTTATACTCAGTCAATGCCTCTTTTTTCCTTCTTTCCCACTTTAAGGTAAAGTATGCAGTAGCACTGTGGTTGTGGGGATTTAATCATTTCTAATTTTAGTGAAACAAAGTTTAGAACTAACTTCATAGAGATGAGAACAGAGGTACAGTAAAAGCTCTGTTATCTGGCATCCCCTGGGAACGGGGGATGCTGGATAATAAAATATGCTGGTTAACTGAGCGGCTCTGGCCGCCGCTTCTCACGCTGTGCCTGGGGCATCCCTCTGCCCCTCCCACAGCATCGCTGCCAACAGGGAGGTGGGTCCCACACAGCCCTGCACAGCCTGTTATGCCCCTGGGCCATGGGGGCTCGGCAGCACTGGCTGCTTTGCCCCGAGCCATGGGGGCTCAGAGAAACCAGAAGTGCCACAGTGGGCACTTCCAGTTTCACTTTATCTTACAAGCCAGCATGCCGGTTAGTGGAGCATGCCAGCTTGTAAGATGCCGGATAACAGAACTTTTACTGTATATCAATTCTACAAGCTGACGCTAGAGACCAGCATGTTAATAAAATCAAGCTCTTTACCAGAGCTGTCTAAATGCGCAGGTGTTTGCAAACATACTAGCAACTATATTGTACATTCTTTCACATAACTGGCACCCAAAGCAGAATCTCACCATGAAACCTGAAATGCCACCAATAGGCCAAAAGAGTGTACCTGCGTTGTTCTAATTAGAAACGTTCACAGAGGACACTCCAGCACTGCACTCCGAAAATGTATAGCTATTTCTTGCCCACAACCACCTTAATTAATTATGCAGCCTGAGCTGTCTTACCGTAATTTGCTTCGCAACAAGCTGATCTCTCACTCCCCCCTAGTGAACTATTATGAAATGTTTAAGGTGAGCTTTATTTTTGATTGTTGTACATGCCGATGCAGTCTGGGGTACTGAAAATATCACTACTGTGTTAGTACATCACTGTGCCCAAGCTTCTCAGTAGTGCTCAGATACAGTACTTACTGTATCTGAGCTAGCTCAGTTACGTCTATGCTACCACACATCCACTTCCTCTCGAATATGTAGATTCTCCTATGCTTACACAATAAACACGACTGGTTTTCCTTGGTTTTTCTATACTCTTGCAAACTCTTATTCAAAACACTTTTTCCACCAAGCCTGCAAGAGTAAACTATTTTGCAGGCTTTTAATGTCCAAGTATAAATGCAAATCAAACCAATGCAAGCCTCACTTCAGCACAAACAAAATCGTATTAAAGCCTCTGTCTTCCAGTGCCTCTTAATTATGTTTCCCCAGCCTCTGCGACATTAATTTAGGGAAAAGTGTGCCAATTCTCCAGTACCTTGCACTGTATTCACTTA